TTTTTCTTCTTCTCTCTTCTTAAATACACTTTTATTCAACGGCGCAGAGATTTTTGTCTATGAATTAAATATTTGCAAATTTGAATCTCTTGAAATAAAATAAAATGAAAGCGACAATTTAAAATATGCCAAAATCAAACTGAGCGAAATTGTTTGGTCGATAAGATTTTTGTTCTCCATAAAAAAAACTGATTTTTATAATTTGCAAACGGACAGTTCGGACAACAGATTTTGGCCGAACAAATGCTTCCATACAAATTTTGTTCGGACAAAATCTACTTGTCCGAGTGAAAATGGTTTAATTCTGTTCGGACTGTTTGAGCGGTATGTCCGGCCGTCCGAGCTGAGAGCTCGGCCGGACAAATTTTGTGTCCGTTGCCACCTCTGAACATAAAGCTTTGTGGTCTGTGATTAATATGAAAAATCTGCCATATAGGTATACTCTGAATGCCTTTATTGCTTCTACTATTGCCAATAACTCTTTTTCGATTGTAGAATATCTTTTTTGGGTTTCGTTCAATACTTTGCTAAAAAAATTGATTGGTCTATCATATGGGAGTTCTCCTTGTGAAAGCATTGCTCCTATTGCTACATTAGATGCATCTGTTGTTACGTAGAATAATTCGTTGAAGTTGGGAAATTGGAGCAGAACTTCATCTACTAAAGCTTTTTTGAGAGCATCAAAAGCATCTTGTTGTGAGTAGGTCCAAATGAAAGGTTGTTTATCTTTAAGAAGTGTGGTTAAAGGTTTGGAGATTTTAGCGAAATTTTTGACATAGCGACGAAAATAATTGCATAATCCAAGAAATGATTGGATATCTTTAACTTTGTTAGGTCTTGGATAATTTTTTATTGCTTGTACTTTCCTTGGGTTTGCTTTCATACCTTGGCTAGATATTATGTGACCTAGATATTCGAATTCTTTGGCGTAGAAGAGGCATTTTGAAATTTTTAATTGTAATTTGTGTTCTTTTAAAAGTGACATAGTTTTCCATAAAAGCTTATCATGTTCTTCTTTTGTTTTGGCGTAGATAATGACATCATCAAGGTAGACGTATACACCATTGCCTATTAATTCGCAAAGAATAATATTAATGGCTTTTTGCCATGTTAATGGTGCAGATGATAGTCCAAACGGCATTCTAACCCAGCGGTATTGGAATTTGCCCGTTGTAAAGGCTGTGTAGTCCCGGGAGTCTTTGTCGACAAGGATTTGGTGAAAGGCGTTTTTAATATCAAGAGTCGTGAAATATTTACAGCCGCTTAGCGCGTTTAAAATATCATCTATAAGAGGTATTGGGAAAAATTGGATTTCTGTAATTTCATTCAATTTTCTATAGTCTACAACGAAGCGAAAATCATTCATTGCTCCTGATTCGTCTTTTTTAGGGACCAATATAGCGGGAGAATTGTATGGAGATTGACATTTTTGAATTATTCCCATTTCTTCATATTCTTCGATTATTTTGTCCATAATTTGGCGATGAGTTTGTGGGATGCGATATTGACGAACGTTGACTATTTTACTGTTGGGGATTAAATAAATTTTATGTTTTATTACTTCGGTGACTCCTAACATATCTCCGCTGATGTAAAATTGGTATGGAAAATCGATACATATTTGTTTGACTGTATTCTGACATTCTTCTGGGAGATTTTTTATTTTTAATTCGTTGTATATTAATTTAGTTCGCGAGTAATCAGAGCCTCTTGCACAAAACCATTCCGTTAATTCTTTATTTGTCTTGTTGCGTAAGGAAACGTATTCTAAATTTTCTTCATCCTTTATATTCTGATTTACTTTATTTGTATTTATGTTTTCGATTTCTTTTTTATAAAAATTCATTGTTTGTACATAGTCATCGTATTCTTTGTTTTTATAAATTTGTTTTTTCTCTATTCTTTGTTTTTTTGTTAACTCTTTTTTGTTTATATTTGGGAATTCATAACATTGTGCTAGAATATGCAAGAAGTTTGTTCCAATTAAATCGTCGTTTATATCATTTTTCATATTTGTTTCTTGGTTATCAATTGTTGTTTCATATTTTTCTTGTTCATTTATTTTTTCGTTATATTCTTTTTTTGTTTTTGCATTCAAATTTATTCTTAATTCCATGATATTTATATCTATTGTCACGCCATATGTAGAGAGAAAATCATAGCCAAGATATCCGCTAGCTGGGCCAGAGAACTTTCGATCAACTAAATGCATAACAGTACCTAAAGGGTATTGATCAATTTCCAGTATACCATGTATCATACCCTCTGTTTTTATTGAAATATCTTTACCAACAATGCCGTATAAATTTACAATGTATTTAGTTTTTTCTATTTCTTGTGGAACTAGATCACTTGCTAAAATTGTAATTGCTGCTCCTGTGTCAATTAATAATTTTATTGGCCTATCATTTAGATTTGTTTTCACGTATATATATGGTGCGCCTTTTTCATTATAAATACGTTGATTTAATTGCTTGGTGTAATTGTTTTGTTTTTGTGTTGTTTTCTGAATGTCTTTTAGTGTATTTAATATGTGTTCTTCATTTTCGGCTGCTCTAAAATTTATATCAATATTTGGGGTTGCGGATGAAACAAGTAGGCCTTCTTGTTCCATCCCGTTTAGTTTTCCGTTTGTGTTGCTAAATCAATGAGTTCAACTTGTGCCTCTATTATATTGTTGTTATTGAAGCGTTGATTGTTTCGATCATCAGAATTACGTGGTTGGGTTCTGTTCGAGTTTTGGTTATTTTGTGCTCTGTTCATGTGGTCATTATTGTTCCAATTGCCGTTATTTGATGGGTTGTTGTATTGATTGTTAGAGAAGCGATTACTGTTGCGAGGAGGTTCGTTTCTATTTCCGTTGTTGTTGTAGTTGTTTCTTTGTTCAAATCTATTACCAGGGTTCCAATTATTGTTAAGGCGATTGCTATTATTCCAATTGTCATTAAAGTAGTTTTCATTGTTGAAGTTATTACCATTATTCCAGTTATCGTTGAAGCGGTTACCGTTGTTCCAATTATTGTTAAATTGATTAGTATTGTTCCAGTTTCTACTGAAACGGTTGTTATTGAAACGATTTGCGTTGTTCCAATTTCCGTTGAAGCGGTTTCCGTTGAAGTGGTTTCGGTTTTCGTTAAATCGGTTTCCGTTATTCCAATTACGATTTTGATTGAAAGTATTGTTTTTGAATTTATTCGGTGATTGGTTTGTATTCAAATGTTGTAAAGCTGTTATCAATCCGTTAATTCCATTGTTGTTCCCATTTTTATTGTGACAATCATTTTCACGATGACCATTCATTCTACAGTATCCACAAAACAATTCATGTCGTTGAATTTGGTATAATGCATCATTTTCGGCTTCAATAGCATATGCCACTGCATCTTCTAGAGAATTTGCTCCTCTTGTGATCAATCTGTTCCTTAATCTGATATCTGTGATTCCTCTGGCGAATGCTTTTCGTGCTATTCTGTTGTGTTCGATTTTTTGATCTTCAGTTAGTATTTTATAAGCAGCATTTTTTTCTTGGAGGAGTTTTCGTGCTCGTTCCGCGAATTTAGTCAAAGATTCGTCTTTTTCTTGTTTTAAGTTTTCTAATTGGCTGTTAAGAATATCTTTGTTTGCCAGATGTTTGAATTGAACGTACAATCTATTTTTAATTGCTGTCCAGTTTGATTCTCTATTATCAGCTAGTACCTGTCTTGCTTCTCCTCTTAGCTGAAGTGCCATTTGCTCGTAGAATTCGGATTCTTCGTATTCGTTCATGCATGATTGATATAATGTGTCACAGATATCAATAAAATCAACTAATTCTTTGTGGGTTGCTCCATCGAATTTGGGTATTGTTTGGAGGCGATTTAAAAATTGTTTACGTATTGGTAGCTGACTTGTTGTATTTAGATCATTTTGAATAGATTGATTACTTCTGATTGATTGTGTGTGTACATGTTGTGGATTAATTCTATTATTTTGATTAATTGGTCGAGGATTTTGTATCATGTCGTTTAAAAATTCTCTATTTATATGTTCATTTCTTGTATGGATACTGTTGTCATTTACGTACATTGAAATTGGAGAACTATGAGTTTCAATGGAAGAATTCGACGCGATTGGATTATTGGGAAAATTATTTCTGTTTGGCATAGGATAACGGTCTGGTTGTACAAATGGCTCATTTTGATTGCGTCTTATTGGTTGTTGATAATCAAAATAATTCGGTTGTAATTGTGACTGATTATAGTTAAGATTTGGAAAATCTTGGGCAAAACTTGTAGGACGTATAGGACGTGTAATGCGTGTTATGCTTGGTTGAGGCATTTCTCGAGCATAATTAGCAGTGTTTGATTGGTTATCTTGAGAATAATTTGCATTATTTGGTCGAGTGTAGTTTGGATTTGAAGTATCTTGAAGAAGGCTTGTATAACGTGTAGAGTGTGTTATGCCTGGTTGAGGCATGTCTCGAGCATGATTAATAGCGTTTGGGTGGTAATATTCCTGAGAATAATTTGGTTGGGGTGAATACCACGAAAGATTGGGATTAATTGGTGGAGGATTACAAGAATAAACGGGTGGAGGATTATCATGAGTTTTATAAAAAGTATTTGTATCAGTATGAATATAATGCGACACATTAGTTTGCTCATCTGAACCAAATTGTTGAAAGTTGTTGCTGTCATTATTGATACGTTGAGAGTTTCGATTTGAATGATTTAAGTTGTTTGTAGATTGACAACTTGAAGTTATTGTTCCAGTTTGATCTAATTGGTTTCTTTGAGTTTGAGTTTGGGTAACGAGATTAACGTTTGGAACCGTTATGTTTATTTGTGATGATTCTGAGTCAGAGATTTCTTCAATTGTAGTAGGTATATTTAATTGATCAATGAATCTAACAGTAGTTGTTCGTACTCTTTCTGGTGTTGGATTATAATTCATGAATGATGTTTCAGAAGGTGTTGGTATGGTTGAGAGTCTGACGTTTTGATCAAATATGTCGGTAATTTTTCTTTTCTTTAGGATTCCCTCTATTTTTGATTTTATTGGTTGAGCTTCTTGTACAGCTGTTTTCAAATTATTAAAAAATAAATTCATATCATCAATTTCTTCTTGATTTCTTGGTTGTTGATAATTATCAGCTTTTATTTGCATGGTTGAATTTCTTATGTTTGGATCTGAAAATGTTAGGACGTAGTTATCTGCTGTAGAAAGTCTTGTCGATATTTTCGAGCTTTTTGGGAGAACTAATGGTTGAATTGATGCTGTAACTAAAGTTTGAACCGATGGTGTGGTTTGAGTTGAGATAGTTGGTGTAATTTGAGCTAGTGATATAATTGGAGCCGGAGATTGAATTGAGGTAGAAGATATAATTGGTATAGAAGGTATATTCGGGGCAGAAGATGTAGTTGGAGCAGAAGATATTGTTGGAACAGTTACTGTTTCTAAATTATCATTGGTCTCATCTAAGTTCACTATTTCTTCTGGATTCAGATTGTTGTTTTCTTTATCGGTTGTTTTGTTGCGTTTTACCGGTGTTCTAATCATTTCTTGATCTATAAAATTTTTTAAATCTTCAATGCTTCTTCTTTTGTGAGAGGTTTCACTTTCTTCAGCTGTTTTAATTGGTTCTTTTGATTGATCACTTAGAATGCCTTCCTCTTCGCTTTCCAATTCTCTTTCAATTTCGTTTTTGTTTTTTATTGATTTATTCTCTTGAGACAGTACTTGCAATAATGTTTCTTTTCTTTGTCTTATAATCTGTTCTACCTTAGCTATACTTCGATTAATTCTGTCCACTTCGCGTTTATTCCCTTCCAATTTTATTTTATTCAATTTTCCTTTTAAAAAATTTAATTCCGCGTGTAATTGGGGCAATTTTATCGGTGTTGTTATAATATCTGCCCTGTTCTTCACTTCTTTATTCATGTGTTTATATTTTAGTTTTTTGGTTTGAATGGAAAATTTTACTTACTTATTTTTCTCTTTTTGATGCTTGATGGTTTAGTTATTTGGTTTCCGGGTCTGGTCTTTTGGTTGCTGATGTTTGCCTATATTGGATTTTCTTCCTTCCTTCTTTTCGATGTGTCCGAATTCTTCTGGTATCTGGTCCTTGTGTAGATTTTTTTCTTCTGGTCTTTTCTTTCTGCTCGTCTTTTTCGGATGATTTTATGTGGTTTATTCGCTTTTAGTTTTTGGTGTTTTCAAAGTCGCAATTATTTGGTCGATGGTTTTTTCTACGGCTTTCACTATATTTTCGTGGATGTTTTTAATGTCTGGCATTTTATTTCAAGTTGTTGGTTTTTAATTTCATCATTTTTTCTTTCTTTTCTTCGATGGAAATGTTTTTCTTTTTATTTTCGCGCAAAACTGTTGTATTTGTTTTGAGTCTTTCTTTTGGTTCAGTTTTTTTTTTTTCTCCTTTGCTAGAATTTTTATTCTAGTTTTGTTCTTTTACGTTTATTTCACTTTTTTCTCGCTGATTTTCTTATTTTTTGCAAAAAATTATTATTCAGTTTGTGTTGTAGTTAAAAGATTGTGTATTAAAATATGATTTTGTAATTCACTTTTGAATTTTAAACTTGTTTCTTAAAAGAGTGTTTGATGAAAATTATTTTAAAGAACTCGAATTTTTTTGTCAAAAAATTCTAAGTTCTTTCTATTTTTTCTTTATTCGCAGCGCCAGTGTAAGCCGTGTGGTGTTCTTATTAAGTTTTTACGCGAATTTAATTAAACACTTTTTGTTTTATTCTATTTTTCACAAACTCTTTTATTCAACACAAGTGACAACGTATTTGGTTAATCTCTGGAGGAAAACTGAACACTGACCGTAGTCGGTTTCCTCCTTTTATAATCTTTACTAATCTAATTTTAGTTGATAACTAAATTGGGAACCAATTCCCCTTAATCTAAATATCTAATTATTCGCGTGACATTCCAGCGGTTTTTGCTTA